CTCCCACCTGCAGCCCACCCAGCAGGTAGGTCCCTGCGTGGCCGCTCGTCGCCGGCCAGGGGAGGGAAGGGGGTCTGTCTGCGTGGGTCCGGGACCCCGGTCCAGCGGAAGCGGCTCACCCAGCTCCGTGGTGACTTGTTCCAGGAAGGGGGGTGCAGAATGATAGAGAAATCGAAGAGACAGGAGCGCAGCGAACTTTGGGTCACTGGTTTCTGGGGGGGTTTCTTGCGTGCGGGTTGCCAGGGATGGTGAGGACCTTGGCTGCAAGGAGGCCACCGGGCTGGCTGCACTTCCTCCTTCCTTCTCGTTTTTTTAACTCTCACCTGAACTAATGAAGGGCGGAGGGAGGGAGGGAAGAAGGTGGAAAGTTTTATGTTCTTGGCAAACATTTGTAAGGATGGCAACCTGTCAGACAGCAACTTGTTTTTTTGAAATCCATTGCTAGAGCAGCAGGAAGGGCTGCCAACACTCGCTCTTCTAAACAAACCAAGTTTCTTTTCGCCGGCATGGGGTTAGGGTGAGGTAGGTCTCTGCTAGATGCAAAAAGAAACGAAAAACAAACAAACAAACAAAAACGTCTGGTGCTTAATTCGGTAACCTTGAGGGATCCTTGTTTGTTTTTAAGCTTTGAGGGTCATACGTATAGAGAGTGAAATGTCTTTATTTCACTGGATTTTCAAGAGCCCCAATTATCCATGTGAAATGGACTTGTTCATGCTAAAGGCGCAGGCACTACCGTGGGCATGAAGAGAGAGAGAGGCCAAGGCTGGCTCCACTGGGTTGTGTCTGCAAAGTGAGTGTCACCGGGCTGCCTTGTCCTTGAGGGTTGTCCTGCTCAAAGTTGCTAATGAAAGATGATTCAGTAATGGCAAGGGCTGACAAGGAGGGGTGGTGGCCTGGAGAGAAGAGTGAGCACTCACTGCTTCTCCTGGTCAGTGGTGAGAGACTGTTCCTGGGGCGTGTGCAGGTCCTGCGAGGGCCGGCGCCCTTTCTGGCAGCCCCAGGGCTTGCTGCCCCCTTTGCATTGTTTTCTAGAGCTGTGACCACCCCAGGCCCTTCCTTGGCTGGGATGCTTCACAGACAAGCCCTATTTGTGAGGCCCTGGGTGCCCCACTCCCAGCATACACCCCAACCTTCTGAATCACCATCTTCATTTCTTTCCCCCTAACTTATCTTAGGCAACTCATAAAATGGCAGGCTTGCCCACAGATGCCTGATCTCTTTTAAAAATGCTGTGTCTAGTGGGAAGGAGGGTGACATTTGCTAATTTGGTTGCAATTACTTTTGAAGTTTATGCACAGCTGTTTAAAATCCTCTGCGATTAGTGCCATTGTTTGAGGCAGGTGTCCGCCTCCGAATGCTCTTGTTGTCTCTTCTGCTGATTGTACGTACATATATTCATTTATTGTTTTGGGGTTTTGTTTTGTTTTGTTTTTGTTTTAAGCCAAAAAAAAATAAAAATGAAAGTACCTACATTTAAAGACACAGCATTGGAAGAGCTTTTAAAACCTTCAAAGCATCATTTGTAAAACTCCCAACTTATAAATGAAGTGTAATTTAAGTGTTTGTGGTTTGGTTTTGGTTTGGGGAATTTTTTTTTTTTTGGAGAGGAACATATTTTTTTTTAATCTTTATTGTTGAAAGTGTTGCATATGTCCTTCTTTTTCCCCCACTGGCCCCTCTAGCTCCCCTCCCTCCCTGCCCCAGGCCTTCACCACCCTGTTGTCTGTGTCCATGGGTTATGCATATATGCATACACATTCTTTGGTTTATCTCTTCTGACCCACCCACCCCCGCCTGGGCTCATCAACTCTTATTTCTGATGTCAAGAGTAACCTGTTCCGCATCACCAGCCTTTGTTTCAGCCTCCTGTGATTTTCTTGTAAACTTGTAAAATGTAAACTTCCAGGGGAGACTCTTGTCACCACCCTCCGTTTTGTCATGTTCACTTCCGTCACTGTCTTGTACTACTACGGTGGCTCAGGATGGCAAGGAGCTCTTGGGCGACTTCTTTACCTTCTCTCCCACAGCTCCACTCCCTACCTTTTATTGAGTCTGCTTGGAAAATACGTGGGTCAACTACTGGAACTTTGATTCCTTTTGCTGATGTCCCTTTTCTCTTTCAGGTATGCAGGGACATTGCTCAATTATTCACAGCTCAGTCGTTCTTATGATCTCACTGATCCCCTTCAACACTAATATTTTATTTCTCTTGTTCATGGCAGGTACTGGAGGCTCCCTTGAATACTTCATTTGTCTTTGATCATTTCTATAAAGGTCCCTCATTCCATTGTAACATATTCTCTCTCTCTGTGGAAATGACAGAATTCTTCTCTATAATGAATTTGGTGTTTCATCTAAAATTCCTTGTGTGTTGGGTCTAGGATTTTGTTTTGAGAGGGTTTACAGTACAAATCTGTGACTGGCACTCAGGAGTAAAGCTCCACAAATCTCCATAACCCAGCTTAATGGTGGGACATTCGCCTTCCTTTAAAATAGGAATTAGAATTAGTACTTCCCTTTTTAATGCTTTTTATGTTTTAGAGTTACTGATTATGTTGTTTGCCCCTGAAACTATTGAGGAGATATTAATCTAATGTGACTTTTAATAAGAGTATATTGGATTTCAGGTGATTTTCTTTTTATACAATTCAATCTTTTCTTTCTTTTTTTTCAAGTAATTAATTTCCACAAATAATGTAAAATAAAAAGTTGTTACATAATGAAATATCCCAGAGAACATACATGTATCATGTAATTCCATATTTATATAATTGTATTGCCCCAAGTCAAATCTGTCGTTAAAAGTAGAGAAATTAGTGTTGTGGTGGCATGCATAACATTAAACTCATTCTTTCTGTTTCTGTCCATTACTTTGAAATCTTAACCATCTCATTTTCAAGAAGTAATGCATCTAACATTGCTTTTTCATACCTATTCTGGCTGTTAAGGCAGAAACCATGAAACACCCATAGGAAAACATAATGCTGAGGCAGAAAGGTGAATTAAAAGGCATTTCTTTGCAGTAATGGAAATATCTTTCGTTATTTTAACATGTAAAGCATTTATACACAAATTTCATATTGTCCTCTCTTCTAAAATTATCCTTTGGGCAAATGAGAATCAGAGGTTTCAGGAATTAGGGATAGCTCAGCCCAAGCCCAGAATTGTAGATTTCTGCTCTGGGATTAAACTAGCAGATATTTAAAGGCACTCATTTTGGCAGCATATACTTTTACAGGTTGATATAGGGTAATGCTAACTTTGAATTAAGCTGATAATATTGATGATAATAATAATCAGAGCCAACAAAAACAGTAAAACATTGTTTTATTGAGTCATTATTATTTATAATTTATGTACCAGATTTTATACTCCCAACTTTATTTATATTTGACAAACATTCCTATCTCATTTAATCTTTGCAAAGCTTTCGTAAATTAGATATTATTATTACCATAATCACCCTCATTTTACAGATGAGGAAATTGAGGCCCGGGGAGGTTAAGTCACATGTCCAGTTTTTATAGCTGGTAAGTGGTAGTGTCAGGTTTATCTGACCGCCAAGCACTTGCCATAAACCACAGAGCTGAACAACCCACCAGTTAATTTTTTAATGGTGGTAAAATAAAAATAACATTTAAGTGTACAGTTCATTGGCATTAAATACAGAATGGAACAAATTAGGTTTACAGTTGTTCTAATGGAAAATAATGCAAGAATTAATAAATAATAATACAAGAATAAACTCTATTTTTGTGTATTCACAACTGTAAACCTACTTTTGCTCCTCTCTGTATATTCACAATGTTGTCCAACCAGCACTACCATCCATCCAATAGAACTCTTTCGACTTGCAAAACTGAAACTCTATGCCCATTACATACTAACTTCCAATTCCTCACTTCCCCCTGCTCCTGGAAACCAGCATTCTGCTTTCTGTTACTATGAATTTGACTACTCTGGAACCTCATATAAGTTGAATCATACAGTATTTGTCTTATTTCACCTAGCATAATGTCCTGAAGGTTCCTCAAGGTTTACACTGTAATATGAATCCGAATTTCCTTCCTGTTTAAGGCTGAATAATAATCCATTGTTGGTATAGACCACATTTTGTTTATTCATCTGTTGATGGATACTTGGGTTGCTTCCACATTTTGGCTATTATGAATAATGCTGCTATGAACATGGGTGTACAAATATCTCTTCAAAGTCTTTTGGCCATATACCCAGAAATGGAATTGCTGGATTGGATGTTTAATTTTTGAGGAACCATCATACTATTTTCCATAGCAGCTTCACCATTTTACATTCCCACCAACAGTGCACAAGGGTTCCAGTTTCTCCACATCCTCACCAACACTTGTTATGTTCTGTTTATATGATAGTGGCCATCCTAATGGGTGTGAGAGGTAACCAATGAGTTATTTACCAAATTATTTGATGCCTGATATCGGGAGTCCTGGACTTATGGTACTCCTGAATTCATTGCTTTTCCTATCTCACCTTGTGCTTATATACCTTTCTCTAGTGCAGAATCATTGTAATTACTACTAAAGCATTCGCTGAAGGATTAGGGAAACCATGGATTGGAGGGCTCCTAAAAGATAAACAAAAGGTCCCTGTAGGTAGGGTAGCCTACCTAGATTTAGAAGTGATTGTTTGAGGAGAAATAGTACTGATTACACAGAGTAGGCATGATTCAACCAGAAGTTGACAAAGATGAAAATGGCCTCTCTTTCCTCTCCCAAAGCTCTCCCCTTGCTGCTAGGAGAAGACAAGCATTGGTGGTACCATGTGAGATGATGTGCTTTACTTTCTAAAACTGGGGTCCCTGGGATCAGAGCTGAATCCAACTGCCTACTTTTTCCAGTGTGTATACAGATATTGATGAGTTCTCTGAAGAAGAAGAAAAAAAGGAACTATGCCAATTCACAATGATATAACTCCATAATTTCCAGCTCCAGCCAGGCTCTCAGACTTTCCCTGGTCAGCCCTCTTTTGCTTTCTAGAGCAGTATATTTCAGACCTTCTCTTGCCACCACTGTCCCTGCACTCCCAGCACTTTGCTTTGCTTCCTTTGCAAGCTCCTCCTCTCCTTTCTGCCCCCTGGAAGATGAATATTCCTCCATTTTCTCATGCCATAAGCAACCTCATTCCTCATTGCCCTCCATAGCCATTCTCCTCATTGACCACCAACCAACCATTCGCCTATGCAAAGTCTTCCTGATCCTCTTCCACAGATAGCTGATAGGCACATCCAGCACCCCAATATCCCAAACTGAATGTATTATCTTTCTCCTTCCTCCTTCCATAAATTTTCCCTCTCATTCTTTCCCAAACCTGACTTTGGTATCATCTGTTCTTGTATAACCAGAAGTCTGAATGT